TAAAAACAAATAAAAGCATTTGAAATTAAATAATATATTTGTTTTTATTGAGTTTTGTATGTTACAATTCAGAGCTGATTTCAGGTACGTTGGCCAAATTAAAAAAAAAAAAACATGATTTACATTCTTCAAAGCCTTGTGCTTTAACTATTGTAATCACTAAAAACCGATGGTACGAATTTCTAGATTTTTTCATAAAATTAGATATGGGGGTGTTAATAAATATAAAAAAAATATTTCTGCCATGACTTTAATAAAAAAAAAAACATATTTATAATAATTTCGATCATCTGTGAATAGTTTCTGAAAGTTTCATTAACATCTGACAATTATTTTTATTTTTGCAAGATTTTCCAAATTAATATGTGTAATACAAAAAAATGCGCTAAAAATTATCTATGTTATTTACTACTCCATGTTGCAACAAATAGAAACAAGGTTTAATATTCTAAAAAGATGGAAAAATTTTAAAAAATAATTAAAAAAAAATTTGGTCTATCCTCTTCATAAAAACATAAGCATTTTGATGATAAAATTTTGTTTTCATAAACTTTGGCGTCTTTTTCATCAGACTATGCTCTATTTTTTTGAAATGCCGTAGAGATACCTAATTTAAATAATATTCTAAACTATGTTAATTCATTTCAATTATATTTAAAAGGGGTCAAAATCGAATTTTGTCTAGTGATATAAATTTTAAAAAAAAATTTTGTCTATTAGAAAAATATCTTAAAATTACTACATTGTTTTTTTTTTTTTAATTTATTTTTAATCTTCTCACTCTAAACAAAGCAATAAAGCCTCTAGGATTCAAGGGGTTACTGAGTGTTAGAGAAAATGAGAAACACTATTATTAATGAGAGAAGACAATAAAAGAACAAGAATTAAGGAGACAGAAGATAACGAGTAAAATTGTGTTTAAATTTTTGAAGATCAAAGTTAATTAGGAAGCAAGAAACCAGAAACAAGTGAGAAGTGCGATAGAATAAAATTAGCATAAAACTTGTGGTTGCATCAAGGCATTTCAACTATATAATGATGAGACTTTGCTGTCAATCTAGTACTGTGCTTAAATTCACAAAGTCTAGCGCCATAGCAAAAAGTTCATCAGAACAATTAGCATGAAATTATTTATAGAAAAGACTACAATGGTATTAAAATTTGATTTTTGATGTCACAGATGATTAAAAAAATTTAATTTAAGCTTCTTTTTTAAATTTTTTATTTATTTAAAACTATAACTGGCAATAACAATACTTTTACCTCCCAACTAAAAAAAGTGTTTGACAAGAAAATAATTTCTTCCCCCATAGATTAAAAAAAAACAAAAAAACTACAAAAATTATCTTGCAACAATGAAATATTCATTTTAAAATAAAGATGCTTTCAAACTGTAGCCATTACTATCATCTCTACCAGAAGAAACACTGTACCATAACCCATACTGCTTTCTAAACTGCCTGCAATCAATGTAAGAGTCTTGAAAAATGCTAAAAAGCAACTATGCACAAGCAGTTCAAGTTGGAAACAAGAAACTTGGTTCTCTCAAGTTCTGGAAAATTTCAAATAACATTCTCAACAGAAAAGAACCATCAGTACCTTCCATCATAAATGGTCCTGAGGTTTTCTCATCCACGTCACATATGGCAAAGATCTGCAATGAACTTTACCTCTAACTGCCCACTAGACAATAAGGGACATCTTCTACCTGACTTACACTCTCTCATAGAATACAAACTTTGCAATATCATTGTCTTGGCTTGCAAAGTTTCTAGATTTATAAAAATACTTAATTTTACAAAGGTTACTGATCTGGATAAAATTTGTCTAGTTCTCTTGAAACTTAGTCCAGATCTCTTAGTTAAATTGTTTAACTGCTACCTGAAGATGAAATGCTTCCCAGGTTTATGAAATGTATTGTCTGTATGTCCACTTTACATGAATTCAACAGAGCACTAATCCACATTTAATATTGTTCCATCAATCTCCTCAGTATCATTAGCAAACTTTTTGAGGCTATCATCAACAAGAAGAGTGCTAATACTCTCAAAGAAACAACCTCCTGAATGATAAACAGTATGGATTTTGCTCAACTAGGTCCACTGCTGATGTTTTAACTGACATTTTGTATTGAATTAAGGAATCACTTAATAATAAATCCATCTTAAGAGTGATTGCTTTAGATATCTCAAAAGCTTTTGACAATGTGTGACATAGGGAATTGCTACACAAACTTCCCAGCTATAGCATTTCTGGGAGAGTCTTCTTGATTATTAAATCCTTCCTAGCTTCATTAATGGCCAGTCTTTTGAAGTTATTCAGGATAATTGCTGAGAAATCTCCTTGTTAATCTACGGTTCATTAATTTAGGGCAACAAATCTTCAGATTTTTTTCTGTACATGACTTAGTGCTTAACCCTATGATAATTGTTACTGATAATTAATGGGTACCACTTGTATATATGGGGTGAATATGATATATAAATTTCTATATATCAGAACAATGTTAGGCAGTTGAATGACAAAGTGGAAAAATTCCCTGTAATGTGTTTTTGTCCTCAAAAAGGGTTTCATTGGACTAAAGTAATGTTTTTCTTGATGGAATTATATATGTAGGGTCTATGTAAAATGTGAAGTTCAGTTATCATTATAAACAACAAAAGTGAGTGAGAACATTATAATAATCTATGCCAAGCAGCTTCACCTGCATACTTTAGCTCTGTTACTTTTTTGAGAAGACCGTCTGTCTGTGTGTATGTGTAATATATATATATATATATATATATATATATATATATATGAGTTGAAGATCTAATGTAGATCAGATATGAAATAAAGAACAATTTAGGAATGAATCTCAATCTAACATGTTTCACCTTTATTAAGGCTTTGTTAGAGATCAAGAATAGCAATAAAAAGCAAAGAGACAGAGTACACGACTGTCAATCTCTGATGAAGTCTTAATAAAGGTGAAACATGTTAGATTGAGATTTGTCTCCTACTTTGTTCTTTATTTCATTTTATCATATATATATATATATATATATGCATACATACAAGCTTCATTAAATATGACAGACAAGGTGCTTTGATTAAATTTTTTCTATAATTTCTCATATGATCTTATAATTTTTTTTCTTTTCTGTAGATTTTCAGTTTTTGTGTAATTTATCTACATACAGAAAAGAAAAAAATTATAAGATCATAGGAGAAATTATATAAAAAGCTTAATCAAAGCACCTTGTCTGTCATATTTAATGAAACTTGCATGAAAGAAGGGTTACTGCTTAAATAACACACACACACACATATATATATATATATATATATATATATATATATATATATAGAAAAAGTTTCAAATTAAAAATTATAATGTTTTATTTTATGAAAGTATTTATTTATTTATATATATTTTGATATTTCAAATTGTCCTCAATTTTTCATCAGAAATAACTGTTTGTTACAAATAAATTAAAATTACTGTTTGTTGGCAAGTAGCGTCCTTCGAGAGACGCGGACGTCACGTGATATGGAACGTCACTGTTCAGATATTCCTAACTTAAATCTAACTGTCATAAATATTTTAAAAATATTTTTTACTATATCTAAAGAAATTGCTTAGCTATTGAAATATTTATAAAGATTTAAAACACCTAAGTCCCTATTCAACCCTAATTTATGTGTATTTAATTTTAAAATCCAATATGTTTCTTTTTTTCTGCGTGTGAATGTGGAAGTAAAATCGGAATCTATTAATAAACATTTGCAGTATATATATATATATAATATTAGTGGTAAATATACACATACATATGCAAAACATATAAATATATATATATATATATACATACATGCATACACATACATATATATTTTGTATAAAAAAAATTCCAAGAGGATAGAATCCAGGTAGAACTCAATGTCCAGGACAGAGTAAGGATATAATAAAAGGCTTAAACACTAAGCCTTTTTTATTATATATATATATATATATATATATATATATATATATATATAATATAAATATTAAGAAATAGACAACCTTAAGTTTTCATAACTCCATTTTATTTTCTTAATTAATATTTGCTCTGGTTTTACATTGAGCTCTCCGGATCACTCTTTGGAATTATCCACATGGATTACCAAATCCTTCATTACCTTTAATTAATTTTTTTTATTTAGTCTTTCCAGCATTCTTACATTTTTGTTTGTTGGGGTACAAAAGTTGTCTATTGTCCCACCACTTCAGCCATTTTAAATAATATACATATTTTTATTTGGTAGGGTGGAACCTTGATGCAGTGTAATGATTAGCAAACTTTTTTTTGCTAGAACAATTATGACTGAGTAGTGAGTTTGATCCTCACTAGGGGCCCCATACTTTTGGCCTTATGCTTAGAAAGTCTGTCTGTGTGTGTATATATATATATATATATATATATATATATATATATATATATATATCATCCACACAGTTTTGCTGTATCACACCTCATTAGACATCCAATTGCTTCAAGCTGAGATTGAAACTTGACTGATCTGACATCAGTAAGAACCTTACTGATTACCTTTCACATGACAGAGAAAGGGAATTTTTAATGCATTATATATGTGATATATATAAATGCCATACTGGCTGCCATAGTGCTTAATTCTTATGAAGAGTGATGCATTTAAAGCAGCCATTAAAATTCCCTTTTTCTTATAGTGCTCAATCAGCAAACAAGAGCATGTTTTTAAGATTTACCATTATTATTATGTGATAAATGGTGTGAGATTAAATGATTTTAAATTGATTTGGAACAGATTTGAAATTAACTTTTCTCAGCAAAGCTTCATAAACTTGTTGATTATTGTATTATCATTAGGTCCTTTTGGTCCTAAAAAAACAGAGGTGAATGATAATTCTCCATTGGATTTTGTTCTGAGCACTTCTTGTTGACTCTGCTTAGTTACTTCTCCATCTCTTTAATATATTCTCAGTGTCATATCTCCAGATGTTCCTTGACTGTTCTCTTTTTCCTTTTCCTCTGTGGGTTTCAGGTTAAGATTTGGTTGGTGATATTAGATGCAGGTTTTATGAGTGTATGTTCTATCCATCACCAGTGCAAGATCTTGGTAATGGTTTTGCTCTTTATCGCTGTTACTCACTGGTGGTCTTGTCTCAACACTTGATGTTGAAAATGCATTTAAAAAATGTGTTGATAATTCTATGCAATTTTTATTGATTCTATAAATTAATTAAAAGAACCTAACTTTTCTAAGTCTGATTCATTATTAATATAATAAAAATGATGGTAACAATGTAGAATACAAAAGATTATAAGTAAAGCAAAACTAACAATACCAAAACTTATTCTTCATTAATAAAATTGAAAAAAAGGTGAAGTGGCATATGGTAGAATTGAGAGGAAGTCCCTTTTTCCCTGATTTTTATATTTAATAATTAATAATTAATTAATTAAATAATATCTAAAGTATGCAGAGTGAAGCTGCTTAGCATAGATTGTTTAATAAACTTCAGAGGAGAAATGAGACAAAATTATTTTAAGTGTATACTTGAACATTATTGTCTTTATAAATCCCATAAACAAAAAAATGTAGAAGGTACACAAATGTAAATGCATTCATACTAGCATTCTTCAAAGAGATTTTATTATATCACCTCACATATGTAAATACTCATTTACATATGTGAGCAATTGTTTGTTTATCAAGATATTTCTAGATTTTATATATCATATTGTAAGATTTCATTTATAAACTCCTGTATATATAAATGTCATAGAATCCATCTTTTGTAAATGTTTGTTTATCTATGTGTGTACAGAAATATATGTACATTTATTTTTCTTTTATTTCGATTTTTACATAATGCTATATACATATACATATGTATGCATTTTTATGTGTTTTTCAAGAACTTGTATAATGCCATTTATCTCTTCTGATGATAATCTTATATGAATATATGTGTATTTTAGATTGTGCGCATTGAAATATATGCACACTGTGTGTGTGTGTATATATTTGGTGTGTGTGTATATGTTTTGTGTGTGTGTTCATATCTGAATATGAATCTGTTTTATGAGTTATTTATACATAAGCTATTATTTGTGCAATGCATAGTTACTTTTTTCTTGAGAAAAACATACACATAACCAAATTTTGACAAAAACTGAACTTCTGTTCAGTATAGTAAATGATATTTTTTGTAAATTTTTTATTGGTGACTTATTTTTATGTCTCTAACTTTTTATATTTTCACTCGGCTTTTTATAAATAGCAATTGTATACTAATATTTTTTTTAAAGTAGAGGCAGTTTGACACAAGAATTTTTTTTTATTAGTATATACTGAATCCTTTTTTTAATTTTTATTTTTTAAATATTTTTATGAAAGTGTTTGGATGTACTGGTATCTGGTAAAAGATAAAATAGCTCAAGGTCTATATTTGATAAAGTTTAAATATTTGAGCATAGCACAATATAATGTACTTAATAACATGACTGTATCTTGTCATTTAAGCAGAAACCAAAAGATATCTCTTAAATGTGATATTAACATGACTACATCCCGCTTAATGTTAGCTATATGGAGGAGATGATTAATGATTAAATAATCCGAATACTAATCCCCACTTTACATCTGATAAAACTACAAGGAACCACTAGCTAATTTAGCACACACACACAACTAAATATATAAATTCTATTCTCTCTCTCTCTCTCTCTCTATATATATATATATATATATATATATATATATATATATATAAAATGTGTGCTTGTATATGTATATTCCAATAATAAATGTATCTGCTTGTTATCAGCCAAGGTGCATTTTAAACTTTTGTTTTAATTGGAGCCATTGTTTAAAAGTTTAATATTTTAAAAATAAATTTTGCTAAGTTATCTCCACTCTTCTGATGTGGGAGGAAGACATCTTTTGAAATAGGCCAAGAAATCCAATTAGATGTCTCATCTAGATTAGATTTTCATCAGTCAACTTGTATGGTATTGATTAACTTTTAATATGGCAATGGAAAGTGATTACCTGACAAAAGTAGGCTGATATCAAAATATGCACATCAAAATAAATTTAATAAAATGATTTTGGTTTGAATTAACTTATGGTTAAAAATTTAAAAAAAAGAAAGAAGAATGAATGATCAGCATTTATATTTTCAATTTATTAAACATAAAAATGTTTGTCTAACTTGTATATTAAATAAAATCAGCCTATATTTGAAATATATTCAAGGGGATCTGTATACTGTAAGGAGTGCTTTGTTACTGCTATATAAAAAAACTCAGTATATTATCTTTTCTGTTTACTCATTATTTTCAGATCTTACAAAATTAAACACTTTTTTACACTTTTGAGATAAACATTGTTTTTAACATTTTAATGGTATTAATAATATAATAATAATATAAAAATTAATTAAAATTAGATTAGTTAAAAATAAAAATTATATATATATATTAATAAAAATTTTAATGTATTAATAAAAATTTTAAAAATTAATTTTATATATTCGATGAACCAATGGTATTAATAATAGAAAAATTAATTTTATATATTTGACAACCCAATGGTATTAATAATATAAAAATGGTGTTAACAATTTAAAAATTAATTTTATGTATTTAGACAAACTAATGTCTCTTTGAATGAGTTGGCTTTTTAATCAGTTTCCAAGCAGTTTTTCTTTTTAACTCAGTAGAATCAATATTGGGATTTAAATCTGGAGAATATAGCAAATAAAAAGAAAGCATCTGATACATCTGAATTCAGTAAGAATTTATGATTCATAGACAATGTCAAACTACAAAAACATTTGAAATAATATAAAACAGATATGAAAGACGAGGACAACTGTCACTGCAATGTTATGGCGACATTTATCTTCATAATTAAAACTACAAAATAATTTTACAGTAAATTATTTTATAATCTATTTTCAATGAAAACATAAAAACAATTATTTTGAGAACTATATAATTATTGTAATGTCCTCTCTTTAAAGTATATTGTTGAAATAAAAAGAAAATATGAGGTACTAAGTGGCTCATCAAATAAACAAGTTAAAATATTTAAATAATGAAAACTACCTGAATTCATCTAATAGTTTAAGTTATATAGCAGTAAAATAGCCATTTAATTTTATAGTTAAAACTGAAGGAAATTTTAAAGATTTGTAAAATAATACCCCCAACCATGAAAGCAGTGTTCTAAATTGCTTTCCAGATTTAAATGTTATAAAATAAACAAATAAAACTAAGTACAACTGACTATTATTAAAAGATAAAAAATCTTTGAGGATTTTGATGTCATTCTGGGGTATTATTTTTGTCTAAATCTGTGAATTTGGTTTGCTCATGCTAAGTCTTGAAAAAAAGAAACACTATATAAAATTCACTATTTTTTTTTGTCTATAATGTTGAATGTGTTAAATTATTCAGCATTTTAGCAAGAACAATCTCAAGTTAATGTTAAAAATTGTTGTAAAATATTGTTGATTTATTTAAGATCTATTATGACATGTCTCTAATTTGTATTTATATACATTGTATTTAATTTTAATTTTTCTAGTTGAATTGTCCCCTATATTGCATATGATCCATTATTGTACGTAATTAGATTATAATAAAATATGTATTTTATATGAATACTACCTTATGAAAATTGAGATGTAGTGGAGTGGGGCCTTGGATAATAGATTGGGGGAAGTGATCATGAGACCTTTGCACTGGCCCTGACAACTGCAGGATTTCTAATGAAGCATGTTTGCTAATTCTGAAATTATGGAATAATTCTAATTATATTCTTTAGTCACTTAGTACAAACTAAAATCACACTTTAGATCACACTGGGTCAAAGCATCTTCAAGTTGTAAGAATTGTAATCTTTGGTTAATGCAGGCATTAATGGACATTTCAAACTGGAACAATTCTTATGAGTACTTTCTTGTAGTTTGACAATTGATAGTCAAAGATAAACTGACAAAAAGGCATTACATTATGTTAATAGTTATAGAACAGGGGGGGGTGCAAACCATGAGCTCTTTGACCCTTAATATGAAGCATGTGGAAATATATTGGCTGCACTCCTTTTTTCATCACAGTTAATATAGAAGGTAAATTAGAAAAATTTCAAGTTTCATAATAATTTATTGGGTATGAATTTGAGACCCCATTAGATTAAAGTGTAAGTTAATGTTTTTAAACTGTTTACTAACAGTTTAAAAACTACATACACGATTAAATATTATTGCATACATACATTTCTTAATATTTATATAAAAATTTTGTAACAAAATGTAAATGTAACAAAAATGTATGTGTAAATTTTGTTCATGTCTTGCAGCTCTCAAACATCTTTACTTTATTATATGTGGCTTTTACATTAAGCAAGTTTGGCCACCCCTGACCTAGAGAAACAAAAGCCGTATTGTTTCTTTGAAAGAAAGCTCTGCAATGTGAGATGCTTAACTAATTTGGCATTAAGGCCTCTAGTAGGTTACCAAAAAGAGATAGAAGGCTTATAGACCAATAGTTGGAAGCATCGGCTGGTTTACCCGAGTTCTTAAAGACTGAAACAAAAGATTTGGATTTCCAACATTGTAAATTATATTCATGTCTTGCAGCTCTCAAACATCTGAACTTTATCATATGTGGCTGTTATATTAAGTACGTTTGACCACCCTTGTTACAGAAGAAATTCTTTTCCTTTTACTAATTTTTTACTTTAGATAATAGCTTCAGATTAATATATGTGGTATTAAGTGGTTTACTAGTAATCTCAATGTTGCTTTAGGATTATTAACTTTAAAATTTTTTTAAGAAACCAGGAAATCAACAGAAATAATTTTTTCATAACCATACATGCTTTTATATGGTGTCAAAAAAAGTAGAAGGTTGGGATTACTAGTATTTGTTTTGGTTTCATAAAAAAAAAACAAAACAGTTTTTACATTAATATCAAGTTGTATACGATACTTCCAGTAAATCATTTTTGAATGCTTTATGTC